ATATTATTATTATATAATGATATTAGTTATTATATATTATTATGTACGTTGTTTGTAATGTCTGCGTGTACACGTGCACGTCTGAGGCAGGTGTTACAGCTACGTCGTACACCTGCTCCCTGCAGCTGTACAACGCACGCTTGTCGCTGCTCTTTTCATTACGAGTTGAATTCGTCATCAACGTTTAAAAAACGTCGAACACGGGTTCATCTACCGTTGAAACAACGTTTAAGAAATGAAATATATATAAATGGATTTAAAAGATCAATTTAGTATAGTAATATAGTTTAGGAGTATAGCATATTAGTGTACGGCGTATAGTAGTATAGTATGGAAATATAGTATAGGAGTAAATTATATTAGTGTTCAGCGTATAGTAGTAGCAGTATAGTAATATAGTTTAGGAGTATAGCATATTAGTGTACGGCGTATAGTAGTATAGTATGGAAATATAGTATAGGAGTAAATTATATTAGTGTTCAGCGTATAGTAGTAGCAGTATAGTAATATAGTTTAGTAATGTGTAGTTTTCATAGTTTGGTATATGTATTATTTGGTATAGTTTGGTATAGTTTAGTATTATATAATAAATAAAATATCTCAACATACAAGAATTGAGATCACTTGATTGCTTATAAATCGCAAGTTTATCAAGAATTTCAAAGCAAAGAAAACAGCAAAAAATTTCTCCGTTTCTTATGAATGAAAACATTTCGGAGTCCAGCTCCATCGTCAGTTCAATAACTTAAAACACAAGTACAAAAATTAGCAAAGTTGATTCACATTAAAGATATTACAACATAAATTGTCAAATGAAAAAAATAAGAATGAGGTAAACATGCGCTGACAAACATAAATATTTGCAAACATGTCTAATTTTTTGTACTTTTATTTTATGTTTTTGAGCTGACGATTGAGCTGGACTCTGAAACGTTTTCTCTCATAAGAAATGGTGAATTTATTGGCTGTTTTCGTTGCTTTTAAATTTTTGATTATCTCAACGTTATATGCGACTGGAAGATAAACGTCTCTCTTACACCGAAATAACACATGGGGTCAAACAGACAAATATATATACTCTTCTTAGCCATATACATGGTCTATGTATATAGGTATTGATTATAGGTCAAATAAATATTTAATATTAGATCTGAGTCTATAGTCCAAATCTAAACAAGACGCATTTTTAACGATAGTTAATTAATAATTAATATGAGTGAGTTACGAGCTGGTGGTGATAGCCTTTAACGCGTAAATTGTTAGTCACTAATTAGTGAACGCTATTTGGATTATCAATTACTTTTATTGAATTTGAATTGATTATAATTGATAATCCATATATTATTATTATAATTGATAAACCATAGGGTGCAATATATTAATGGGCGCAATATATTAATGGGCGCAATATATTAATGGGTGCAATATTTAATGGGTGCAATATATTAATGGGTGCAATATGTAATGGGTGCAATATATTAATGGGTGCAATATATTAATGGGTGCAATATATTAATGGGTGCAATATATTAATGGGTGCAATATATTAATGGGTGCAATATATTAATGAGGCAATATATTAATGGGTTCAACCTATACGCATGTTCACGGATGGAACTGTGTCAGGATGAATTACGTAAGGGCAAAAAGTGCATCATTATTTTGACAGTTCTATTCTATTTCTATTTTCTATTTCTTCTAGCTAAAGATAGTGATGGACGGTGGTGGTGGTGTGATGAGTGGTGAGCACTCACTGCACCGTAGTGTGGTGCACTCACTGCACCGTAGTGTGGTGCACTCACTGCACCGTAGTGTGGTGCAGATGTGGTGCACTCACTGCACCGTAGTGTGGTGCAGATGTGGTGCACTCACTGCACCGTAGTGTGGTGCAGTTGTGGTGCACTCACTGCAACGTAGTGTGGTGCAGTTGTGGTGCACTCACTGCACCGTAGTGTGGTGCAGTTGTGGTGCACTCACTGCACCGTAGTGTGGTGCAGTAGAAGCACACTTTATCAACCACTTTGTAGAAACTAATTAAGTTACATTATATGCCGCATGAATTTGGTCAAGGGTCTTGACGCTTATTCATTTTTTCTCAATTAAATTATTGCTAGCATTATAATTCGTTATGTAATCTATTTGCATTATGCAAAATTATTTGTGTTAGTTTAAAGCAATTCAAGACTTGAGTAATAAACATTGAATACGTGAAATAAATAAAGTTAACATTAATCAAAATTAATAAAAAAAACACTTTGCCGCGCTGTGATATTGCAGCCTCGTTAAAATTCAAGCTTAATGACCATTGAATAACTAAACATCCACCATGCAGTCAGTGGCTCGCGGGCCGTCGTGCGGGTAGGATGTTGCTCGTGTCGCTCTCTCCCCTCAGCCTGGCGAGGGCATCTTCGCCGAACTTTCATAAACTTATTCCAGCTACAAACTCGAACTTTAGATGAGGCTTCGTGATGCCACTAATGGCTTTGAGAATTGCCTTCTTTGATCTTTAATTTGCTGGGAAAATGCAACTGTTGTTCTAGGTTTCTTTCTTACATTAATAAGCGTTTTTATGGTCGTTCAGGGTGAAATTACCATAGCATGCGCTATAAAGTTGAAAGGATCGAAGTGTTTTGTGTGTACGTTTTATTGTAACAAGAAAAATTTGTCCGAAACCATGAATGGATATTCTGAGTATTGTGTTATTTTCTTTGTAACACTTTTTTTTGTGTTAATGTTTCAGTGACATTATTTTCGACGGAATGTAATTATTATTTATTGTATTGGTAAATTTCTCGTTTCTCCATACACCTTATTTCAAGACATTTCATTTCATTTTATGCCTTAAAGCTCCCTCCCTTCTTTTCCCTCATTTATTCTACCGTTTTCGTGTAATCTTTGCTCCTCAATTAAGGTAAAAAACTCTTCTTCATTTTCATACATTTTTCAAACACGTTTCATCTCGTATTTATTTATCGTCATGCCTATCCTATTATCATCCCTATTAATAAAAGTTTTCATTTATCCCCGGTTAAATTTATATCATTATTTTCTTCATTATCCTTACCTATTACCTTAATTCTCATGTATTTATTGAGAAATAATTACAGTTATTATGTGCTCTCTCTCTCGCGTCATGCTGGCACCCGCGGTGACCTCGCACGTAATGACCCTTATCAGGTCAAGCGCTCTACATACTCATTAATTTGCAGCTATTATATCATTCAGCTAATTTATCCTATTATTAATATCATTCATATCGCTATTATATCATTCATCTAATTTATCCTATTATTATATCATTCATATCGCTATTATATCATTCATCTAATTTATCCTATTATTATATCATTCATATCGCTATTATATCATTCATATCGCTATTATATCATTCATCTAATTTATCTCATTACTATATCATTCATATCGCTATTATATCATTCATATCGCTATTATATCATTCATATCGCTATTATATCATTCATCTAATTTATCCTATTGTTATATCATTCATATCGCCATTATATCATTCATCTAATTTATCCTTCACTTTCTTTAAACATTATTCTTGATGTAAACAACTTTTAATTTCATTGTTTCACATTCATGAGATTTTGTTTCATTGTTTTGCATTCAAACAAAATCACATTCAAGTATTTTCACTGAAGCATTAAATAAATTCGCATTCGATACTGTGAAATTTCCCTCCGTGAAATTTGAATTATGTAAATTTTGTGAATTTCCTAATTTGCGTTTAGTTGAAAAGTTAAGTTGAAAAGTTAAGTTGAAAGTTAAGTTAAGTTGAGTTAACTTAAGTTAAGTTAAAAGTTAAGTTAAGTTGAGTCAAGTTAACTTAAGTTGAGTTAAGTTAAGTTGAGTTAAGTTGAAAGTTAAGTTAAGTTAAAAGTTAAGTTAAGTTGAGTTAAGTTAAGTTAAGTTAAGTTAAGTTAAAAGTTAAGTTAAGTTAAGTTAAAAGTTAAGTTAAGTTGAGTTAAGTTAAAAGTTAAGTTAAGTTAAGAGTTAAGTTAAGTTAAGTTAAAAGTTAAATTAAGTTAAGTTAAGTTAAGTTAAGTTGAAAGTTAAGTTGAAATGCAGCGAAGCGACGGCGGTGACTCGGCACTTCTCAGGTGCCGGAGTCACGATTTATTGCATGGGCGTTTATAAGAAAATCTTTTTCTTACTGAGATATTCCTTCGAAGAAACGCAATCTTTATTGGCCCCCTCATCCTCTTTACTTCATCTACTTTTTAATCGTCTTCCATTCATCCTCTCTTTACTTCATCTTTTTCCTTTGTTCCTCTTCCAATTTTTTCTCTCTCTTCAAAGTTTGCCTTGAAATAAGCGTAAACTTTGTGAACTGAGGCTGAAAGTGGGTTATTTACTATCACTGTTTGTGGTAATAAGTTACTGCCTCAGTATGGGAAGTGATTTACTACCTAGAAATGCGATAGGTGCTATTGTTTTCGTTTAGTACCATTAAGATGGAAGGTTCTTCCTAGCTGGAGTTTGTTGAGTCATATTTGAACCGAGATATAATGCCAGTTGAACATTTATCTAACTCTCCAACATACCAATGATAGTACGCGTTACTTAAATCATTCTGGAATATATAATCAGCTTCATTTCACTTGATTTATTTATTTACGCGGCCTAGCAATGTGTATACGGTAGCTCGATACAATGGGAATTCATTTGCTGCCTTATTTCAATTCTAAGAATCCATAGCGCTGAAAAGGATCTCAACTTGGATCTTGAGGCAAGACCAATTTTAGGAAATTAGTGCGCCAAGTTCTTTAAGAAATAATAAAAATGCGGGGAAACGACATCGACGGTCACCGTCAGTCCTATAGGACTTTTCCTAAAAAAGTTGCCCATGCCTCGGGATTGTCCCAGAAATTGCCGTTTCTGCGATGGTGTTGTCCCTTTTGCTTTGAAAGTCCTCGGCAAACTCGACGTGAATCTAAAGTCCCTGTGATCAAAGTCACTCGAGTCCGGACTCCGTCCACAGACTCGGAAGACTCCGATGCAGACTACGATGGACATGCGACTCCAGAAGAAGAGTGTCGAAAACCGCTCCAAAAAGTGGCTTTGCATAAAGGATTCGATACTGCGCCTGAAGATTTTGATAAAGATGATAAAATTGACGAGGTTGATGCTGTGACCGCAGATACTGACTACGCAGGTGAAAATGATATGGAGCCTCCTATTGTAGCTGATGCCCCATCATCCACCTCTGACGTACCCATCGCTAAGGGTATCAACCGTAACAGCATCAAGCGGAGTTCCATGAAAGGCATTAAAGAAATGTTCTCAAAGTCGAAGAAGTATCGTAAGAACTCGAAGAACGACGATGTTCCTGAGACTGCTGAAGAAACGACACCCGAAAACGGAAACGTCGAGGAATTCACTGAAAGAAAGCGCCCAAAATTTTTCAGTTTCAAGGCCAAGGACGTAGACGATGGCGTCGGGACTCAACGCGGGTCAAAGAAGTCCAAGTATTCCATCATCAGGAAGAAAAGAATAAAGTCGTCTAGTTCTGCCTCGGTCGCGAAGACTCCCGACTCCGATTTGAGGGAGAATCTAGGGGTAGAGTCTAGGGACCCTCAGGGCAGCAGTGACTCCGATCCCCTGATTTCAGAGGACCCTGTCATGACTCTGGATTCTTTGGAGTTTGAAAACTTGCCGCTTTCGAAAGAGTTCAAGAATGGAGAATGTCTCACTTCGCCCGTAGCCTCAAACGAATCCACCATCAGCTCTGATGAAGAACTGAGTTTTTACTCGAGAAAATTCACCTCTACAAACTCAACAGAGAAACCATGGGGTTCAGCAAAGAATAAGTCCACAGACGACACTGCAGAGTCCTCTTCTGCCGAAAGGAGGATATCCAGGAACCATATGGGATCAAATTTTGTGTCAGATTTCAACTCAGAAGAACAGATACCGGATGAAAATATTCTCGTCGACTCGCGTCTATTGTCGAATGATTTATTTGCAAAGGTCAAGTTCCCTAGAGCCTCTGAAGGTGCTGATGACGCAACAGAATTAACCATCCCTCCTACAAAACCACCAAGGACCCTAGAAACTCCAGCTAATTTTGAAAATCTCCCCAAAAGCAATAGTGATTCTGAGACTCACTCGCCCAGCACGGGCATTGAAAATTCGATGGATTTTGACGTGAATTCGATTCAACCAAAACGAAGCGTCGTTCCCCAAAAAGACGTCAATTGGAAGTCAAAGACCCTGAATGATACTGCTGCTAATGACAACGCATTAAAAAACGTTTCAACTGACTTTAAGACGCAAAAATCAGTTACAACTGATGGTTTTAACGGCAATAACGCTACTGAGGCCCCGAATAACACTCCCGATGCCTCAAATAACGCCCCCGAGGTCTCAAATAACGCTCCCGAGGCCCCACATAACGCTACCGAGGTCTCAAATAACGCTCCCGAGGCCTCAAATAACGCCCCCGAGGCCCCACATAACGCTACCGAGGCCTCAAATTACTCCACTAACGCAGCGTGTCGTAACTCAAAGACCATTAAAGCCAAGAAGCCGTCATTAAAAGATCGCATTATTGGTCGACGTGGCAAGGATCGACCCGCTAATGTTAAGGAACCAAAACTTTCTGATGAGCCCGACGGGCCGTGCGAATCTGGTCCCCAAGAGTCTGGGCCCAACGGGTCTGGGACCCGAAATTCTGAGCCCAGCGGGTGCCAAGGTGAGCATCTTGTTGGAGTATTGTACTAACACGGCAACGCGGGAAATGTCATCTGTTTTTTATAGTTTCCCGTCATTTCAGTCATGTTTTCTTCCGTATTGTTTCTGCCCGTGTGTGAGAGAGTAATTGTCTGCATGTCTCTGCTGTGCTGCCTCTTACCAGCTCTGTTAGAACCGCTGCTCTCTGTCTCGCAGTGCTTTGTTTGCAAAACAAACGCTGTCACGGCCTATCCAAGTGACAGGATGTTGGTGAACCCCTCGTGGCGTGCAGCTGCTGCTGGTGAACCCCACTTGGCGTTCAGCTGCTGTTGGTGAACCCCGCGTGGCGTTCAGCTGCTGTTGGTGAACCCCGCGTGGCGTTCAGCTGCTGTTGGTGAACCCTGCGTGGCGTTCAGCTGCTGTTGGTGAACCCTGCGTGGCGTTCAGCTGCTGTTTGTGAACCCCGCGTGGCGTTCAGCTGCTGTTGATGAACCCCGCGTGGCGTTAAATGAATAAATAATTAAATAATGTGGGATAAAAATTACCTTAAATTCGACACGAAGATATGACGTTTGAGGCAAACTTTTTAACGTTTAGTCTCGGGACAAAATAAGGGGGGAAGAGTGGAAAAGGGGAAGGAAAATTATGTGGGAAAAGGTGAAGGTATAGCTAGGAGAGAGGGAAAATAATGGGGAGAATGGAAGAAGAAAGGGAATAATGGGAAGATGGGGAAGAGGAAAAGGAATAATTTGAAGATGGGGAGGAGGAAAGGGAATAATGGGAAGGTGAAGAGGTAAAGGAATAATGGGAAGATGGGGAAGAAGAAAGGAAATAATGGGAGAATGGGGAGGAGGAAAGGAAATAATGGGAAGGGAAAAGAGCTGAATGAAGCGTGGGATAGTAAGGGAATGTGAGGTGAGAAAATTGGTATGGAGCTGGGGGGGCGAGGGGGGCGGCGGGGGGCGACGGAGTTTTTGTTTAATTTCCTGCTACGCTCCCCTATTGGGAATTATAGTCGGAACAACGACGGCCATTTTTAACCCCCTTATCTTTCAGTGTTGCTAGCGCCGCGCAACAGCTTTATCTCTCCTCCTGCCACTAACTTACTATATTATTGTACATTAATTATTTTTATAAATCATAATTATTTTAATACCTATATTATTATTTTTTATACACTAAACATTTTTTTCCATATGCTACTTGTGTTGTACTTGTGTTATTATTATATAATTTTTTTCTTTTTATATATTATTCATTTTTTATAACTTCTATTATTATTATTTTCGTTTTCATACATTATACCTACATTTTATACATATTATTATTTATAAAAGTATACGTTTTTTATTATATTATACAGATAGGTTGCAATTCAGGTAAACAAGATTACATATTCGGAATCAATTACCCATTTTATAACAAATTTGCTATTTGCTATTCATTGTCTTATGACAATTCATATATTTTTTAATCCTACTTACGATATTCTGCCATATTCAGTCTTCTAACAATAGTGTTTTCAAATTAATGTGGCTATTGATTTCTGAAGAAATTTGGTGACGCGCGTCAATCTTTAGCGGTGTTGCGCTTTTTTGGGTCATTTTGACCCAGTTTTGGCCCGGCAAAAGGGCGTATCAGTGCTACGCGTAGGAGGTGCGTCACTACTTGGATAATATAACACACATATTTTTCTGATTGTACACTTTAGACCTACTGCCGTCTTTGTAGCTATTCCACTTTTATGCCAGTCATGGGCGTAATACCACCTATAGGTGTTAGCATGGGCGAGATAATGTTCATGGGTGTTATAAATGTTGTGATACCACGGGTGTTAAATATGGTGTAATAACGCTTTCGGTTGTTATAAATGATGTAATAATAACGTAGTATAATATGGGTGTTCTATCACCCATATGTTATCATGGGTGTAATATGAGTGTTCCATCACCCATATGTTATCATGGGTGTAATATGAGTGTTCCATCACCCATATGTTATCATGGGTGTAATATGAGTGTTCCATCACCCGTATGTTATCATGGGTGTAATATGAGTGTTCCATCACCCGTATGTTATCATGGGTGTAATATGAGTGTTCTATCACCCGTATGTTATCATGGGTGTAATATGAGTGTTCTATCACCCGTATGTTATCATGGGTGTAATATGAGTGTTCCATCACCCGTATGTTATCACGGGTGTAATATGAGTGTTCTATCACCCGTATGTTATCATGGGTGTAATATGAGTGTTCCATCACCCGTATGTTATCATGGGTGTAATATGAGTGTTCCATCACCCGTATGTTATCATATCCTGTTATAGTTCCCTGATCGATCATAGGCTCGTGTAAATATTAGGTCGCGGTTGTTCACAAATCGATCACTATATCATGTATTATTCTACACAGCATTATTTATGTATAATTTATACGAAATATTGCATTAATATGTATACATTATTTTATAAATATTGCACACTATGCGTTATTTTGCTCAGCTATGCAGCACACTGATGCACCGCAAATTCACTATTTATTATTTATTTCATATGAAGTTTCGATTTCTGAAATAATCTCTTCGAATTGCTTCTGCGCGCACAAGATCGCGTAAAATGCGCATGAAATGAGCAGTAAAGCTCAAAACGCTCCAACACCAACTGCATTTAACGTTAAAAACTATTAATTTTTTTATAAATTATTAATTTTTTATAGTTTTTTATAATTTTTAATCAGCCAAGCTTGATAAAAAATTCGCGGCGTTAGCGTATGTGCGGTCGAAGTGCTTGCTGTGCTACACTGAAATTACAGTAATTTTTCCACTTTACGGTTGTTTTAATTTTGATAATTACTCTCAGTTTGTGCTTTTTCCAGTTATTATATAATTTAAGATTTAAAACAATTTAAATCGATAATGTCACTCTATGGTTGTTTTAATTTTGATAATTACTCTCAGTTTGTGTTTTTTCCAGTTATGAATAATTTTAGAATTGAATCAATGATTTAAGCGCTCGTTTAGTGTTCGGTTGTAGCGCTTTTTACCAACCGCATCAATGAAGAATTTATTTATTTGGTTTATTGATTTATTTATTTGGTTATGAAGAATTGGTTCATTGTGAATTGCGAGACTTAATATTATGTTAATTGGTAACTGAAGGTAAATAATTATAATTATTTTCTAATAATTAATTTTGTTTTACAGAGGATGGCTTGAGTACTACAGCCCACGATGACACCCTCGCCCACCTCCGCCCCATCGGCGCAGCATCGGCGCCGTTCGGCGGAGGCCGACCGTCGCTCGGCGGCGGCGGCGGCGGCGGGTCATTAAGTTCGTCGGTGACGTCATCAATGATGACGTGTAGCGGCGACGTATCATCGTCAGCTGCTGACGAAGACGTTGAAAAACTTCTCATGTTCCAGGACCGCAAGAGGCAACACTCGCTTACTACACTCGGAGTACGTTACTAAATTTACGTTTTACGTTTTTTTATTTACGTTTTGAGTTATTTTGTTTACGTTTTAAGTTGCTAAATTTACTTCTCTTACCTTGCGTGTTTGAACGTTTCTTTCATATGTTCGTTGCTTTTCGTTTCGTGCTATGTGTGTTTTACGTATGCTTCTTTGCGTATTTACGTGTGTTTCTATGTGTGTTTTTACGTGTGTTACGTTACGTATATATTATATACATACATTATGTGCCTCGCGCATTTTACTAACGTCACATTTTTCACTAGCCTCCCTACTGTCACTAACGTCACATACGTCATTGTGATCTTGTGACATTATTTACATGCATCATTTACATCTTTGCTTTGCACGCTAATTTATGCTAATTTAACACTTCAAAGAATAACTTTTCCTGGAGAATTTGTATCGTTATGTTGTGAATCATTCCACATTTATCCAGTTATCGCTTATAATTATTTGTTAAATTAAATTATTTATTCATACCTAGCTTCTATGTTCTGTTTTATTTCTAATTGGTCGTACGGTTTATTTTAATAACGCTTCTTCTTATCTTCCATACAAGACTGTTTGTTTATTTGTTCGTTTGTTTGTTTGTTCGTTTGTTTATTTGTTTGTGTATGTTTAGCAAGATTAGTGCACAAACTTCGTGCAACAAGCACCAATCATCAGTCAACAAACACTGAAAGCAAAGTTTGTGAAACTTTTTTCTCCCGAGCGCCGAATGCAGAAGTTGCGGAGTGAACTTTAATGTGGAACTGCACTGCAGGCGTGTGCTGTGCACTGCAGGCGTGTGCTGTGCACTGCAGGCGTGTGCTGTGCACTGCAGGCGTGTGCTGTGCACTGCAGGCGTGTGCTGTGCACTGCAGGCGTGTGCTGTGCACTGCAGGCGTGTGCTGTGCACTGCAGGCGTGTGCTGTGCACTGCAGGCGTGTGCTGTGCACTGCAGGCGTGTGCTGTGCACTGCAGGCGTGTGCTGTGCACTGCAGGCGTGTGCTGTGCACTGCAGGCGTGTGCTGTGCACTGCAGGCGTGTGCTGTGCACTGCAGGCGTGTGCTGTGCACTGCAGGCGTGTGCTGTGCACTGCAGGCGTGTGCTGTGCACTGCAGGCGTGTGCTGTGCACTGCAGGCGTGTGCTGTGCACTGCAGGCGTGTGCTGTGCACTGCAGGCGTGTGCTGTGCACTGCAGGCGTGTGCTGTGCACTGCAGGCGTGTGCTGTGCACTGCAGGCGTGTGCTGTGCACTGCAGGCGTGTGCTGTGCACTGCAGGCGTGTGCTGTGCACTGCAGGCGTGTGCTGTGCACTGCAGGCGTGTGCTGTGCACTGCAGGCGTGTGCTGTGCACTGCAGGCGTGTGCTGTGCACTGCAGGCGTGTGCTGTGCACTGCAGGCGTGTGCTGTGCACTGCAGGCGTGTGCTGTGCACTGCAGGCGTGTGCTGTGCACTGCAGGCGTGTGCTGTGCACTGCAGACGTGTGCTGTGCACTGCAGACGTGTGCTGTGCACTGCAGGCCTGTGCTGTGCACTGCAGGCGTGTGCTGTGCACTGCAGGCCTGTGCTGTGCACTGCAGGCGTGTGCTGTGCACTGCAAATTTGAACGCTGTGCCAGGCTGTGCGCACAGGAAACGCTTGTGCGACCGTTACTCTGCGATAACTCTAATGAACCTGCCTCACATTCATGAGTGAATGCCTCTGCCTCACATTCATGAGTGAATGTCTCTGCCTCACATTCATGAGTGAATGACCCATAAAAATTAACAAATGTTTCGATATTTGTACATCGTGAATGCCTTTGCCTCACATTCATGTTATTCATTGATAAATCATGTACCTGCATCATTTATTAAGAATAGCGCGTAGCATTCATCCAATAAGTCAATAATTTCCTCAATAGTTCCAATGAGAGAGAAATCCTGAACTGAAGACACATTAATAAGAATTAATAAATATTAATAATATTACTAAATAGCATTATAATAATAAATGTTATTCTAATTCGGTTTATTTTGGCTACTGCTGGTCGATCTTTGATAACCATTTCTTATTTTCACTTTTATAGTCATGTATGCAGTATAAAATTCAACATTTTCTGCAATCAATTATGACTTTAAAAAAAACTTTGTAATTCTTATCTATTTTTCATCCCTTTTATCATCGCAAAATTTATTACTTTATTTATTACGTTTTATCTTATTATTCTCCTTCATATCAACATACACGTTGTAAAAGCCAATCTTTTTATACATAACAGTTATACCATGTTTTACCAGCGGACATAAAGCTACTGACGACTAACACTTCGGTTTGATTCCCTTGGTGACTTTTTTTAATATTTATTATTACATTTATTTTATGTCTTCAATACAATAGACATTCATCATGGTTCCTATTGCATAGACATTCATCATGGTTCCTATTGCATAGACATTCATCATGGTTCATATTGCAAAGACATTCGTCATGGATTCATCATGGTTCCTATTGCGTAGACATTCATCATGGTTCCAATTGCATAGACATTCATCATGGTTCCTATTGCGTAGACATTCATCATGGTTCCTATTGCATAGACATTCATCATGGTTCATTTTGCATACACATTCATTATGACTCCTATTGCATAGACATTCATCATGGTTCATATTGCATAGACATTCATCATGGTTCCTTTGCATAGACATTCATTATGATCTATATTGCATAGACATTCATCATGGTTCCTGTTGCATAGACATTCATTATGTTCCATATTGCATAGACATTCATCAAGGTTCATATTGCATGTTTCAAAAACATACTAATGCGATGTTCGATTGTTGAAACGTCGTGTGAATGTCTATGGCGTAGCTTTGTCTTCTGTATTGTGAACTATTCACATGTTAGGCTAAAGTTAAATAGTTTATTTGTTATATTTTCAAACTCACATTTTAGGTTTAAGTTGCGCTGCCATAATCTTTACGTTGTTTGCTTCTTATTTTTGTGTTTGAAGTTGAAAAATTTCCCCATGTTTGTTTACTAAGTATTTGGTGAAGTTTGCTATTTTGTTTTTTATTTTTTTATGCAACGCCTTTTCGAGTTCCACAGAAAGAAAAACACTGGTCAAATTCACCTCCTCGATAATTATCTTGAATTAAATGAGTAATTTATTGAATAAAACGAAAAATAAATAAAAATGATTTACTATCGTGTTTCCAACTTGTCCAACTGTCACTACTTTTCGTTTGGAAATTTCCTTAACCATTACAATATCATTACGATTTTATCTATAATTGTTTAAAAATAATATTGAATCAATTCATTCGTTGATTTAATTTGTTTTGGGTGAGTGAATTTGACCTGTGTTTTTCCCTCAGTGTTGCCTGAGCCCTAGTGTTGATATCGAACCCTCTTTTTCCCCTCAAGAAGCGCACTGCGGACAAGAGGGTTACATAACCCCTCGGACCCCTCAAGCGACCCTCAACCTCCGACTTCAACCCCTCACTGCGCCTGCAACGAAATTATTTCATTGCAAAATATATTTGATGCCCTTTTTATATATCTAGATAGTCTATTATCTGCCACATTTTGGCGTGTAATAGATAATTTAATATACTTTTATTTCACCGAAATATTAGTAAGTTGAAATATTTCTATCTGACTCCCTGGAATGTTGTGAATGACTTCGAAGCATGTACCAAGAAACACCACCGATGTCTTCTCTTTATAATTTTAATTTATATTTACAAAAAAAACATTTTATTTAATTTCTCTCACGTATTTCACAAATTCTTCTTAGCGTAAATTTATTAGAATATTTGCTTACGAAAGGAGCATATAGTTCTTGTGATATGGCTTGCATCTGATGTTGAAGAAACGTTGAATAGACATCGTATTATCAACGTATGAATTACGCATGAAACACGCGGAGCTTCTGTCGGTCAGGGGTCAGCAGCCGGAAGGCCTTGAGGCTTGATTCGAAAATTCTTCCAACTTGTGGAAGAAAAAATTAAAAATATTGTTTATGTTAGCTTAATTTCGGTGTTGAAAGACTTGGGTAAACGTCCACTGGGGCCTTTTGCAATATCACAAGTTTACGGGGGCTGAAGTCTACCCCAAAGGAATCGAGCTGAAGTCCACCCGAAAAACCGGCTGAAGTTCACCCGAAAAACCGTCTGAAGTACATCCAGAAAAACCGGCTGAAGTCCGCCCGAAAAACCGGCTGAAGTTCACTCGAAAACCGGCTGAAGTTCACTCGAGAAGCCGACAGAAGTCCACCCGAGAAACCGGCTGAAGTCCATCCGAAAAACCGGCTAAAGTCCATCCGAAAAACCGGCTAAAGTACATCCAAAAAACCGGCAGAAGTCCATCCAAAAAACCGGCAGAAGTCCATCCAAAAAACCGGCTGGAGTTCATCTAAAAAACCGGCTGAAGTTCGTCCAAAAACCGGTTGAAGTGCACCCGAAAAACCGGTTGAAGTTTAGCCGAGAAGTTGGCTAAAGTCCACTAAGAAGGTAGCGGAAGTCATCCGAGCATCAGTCTGAAGTCCACCCGAGGGCTGGTGAAGCCAGTCCACAATTCTTCGTCGCGATCCCGACCTGTTCAATGATGTGGTGTATGGATGATGATGTGGTGTATGAATGATGATGTGATGTATGAATGATGATGTGATGTATGAATGATGATGTATGTGTGAATGATTATGTGGTGTTTGTATGAAGTGATGTGTGAATGATGAAGTGATGTATGAATGATGATGTGGCTGATGAATGATGATGTGATGTATGAATGATGATGTATGTATGAATGATTATGTGGTGTACGAATGACGTGTGTAGATGATGTGTTGTGTTAATTATAGCACAGAAAAGTAGTATCGGCGCTGAAGAATAGACCAAGCTTAGCCTGTCGTTGATTATTGTGATGATATGGTGTATGAATGATGAGTACGAATGATGTTATGTGTGCATGATAGAGTTTACGAATGATGTGTCGCATGAATAATACGATAGGTATA